GCCGCTTTGAGGCCTCTTGGACGTGTGCCGGAGGCTACTTGACCCATCTGCCGCTATCTTGGGCCATCTTGGAGGCCATCTTGCGCTCTCGGAGGCCCTCTTGTAGCCATTTTGGGCCATCTGTTATGGGTCAGGCCCCCCCCCCCCCGTCCAAACGCATGGAGGGGGGGGGAGGTAAACCTCCCAAGCAGGGAAAGGAAGGAGGTTGGAAAAGGAAACGCCCTAGACCACCTGCGCCCAGAGGGCTGGTGGGAAGTGAAATCGACCACCCCCACCTCCCAAGATTGTCAGTACCCTTTGGGGGTGCGCAACGTTCATGCGATTATGCCCCATCGTTCTGAATATGCAATCAGAGCATCCGAGTCAGGCCGGTATCGCCCACCCCGCCATCTTCGTCAAAGGAGCTATTCGCGCCTTCGGTGTGCAACGATGTTGCAAAACATGGGACGAAGTGCGCGCGCGCGCGTCGTCGCACGCCCATGCCAAAACACACGAATGCCGTAGGATTTACAGGGGTTTCAAAAACGAGCGTCCCGGAAACATAATTATCTTGGCGAAGGACCCACGCAAATGAAGCTGTGAATGCTGCTGAATGCCGCCGTTGTGAGAACTGCCTTCGGCGGGGTCCCCTATGGTCACGAAGCGCGCGAAGGGTGCGCCGCAATGGAGCGGGGCCGCCATGTGGGCGCTGCCGCTGGGGCTTTCGGTTGAGCTCATTATGGGGTCACGAAGCGTGCGAGGGGCGTGCCAGAGAGGAGGGGGCGGTATGCGGGCGCAGTCGCTCGGGCTTTCGGTGGAGCTCCCTTATGGGACTACGAAACGTGTGAGGGGTGTGCAACAGCAAGGGGGTGGCAGCATTCGGGCGCCACCATTGGGGCCTTAGGTGTAGCTCCCGATGGGGCCACGAAACGTGTGAGGGTGCGCCAAATGAGGGGGCGGCGCATGCGGGCGCAGCCGCTGGGGCATTCGGTGGAGCTCCCTATGGGGCCACGAAGCGTGCGAGGAGTGCGCCAAAATGAGGGGGTGGCGGCATGCGGGCGTAGCCTTTTGGGGCCTTCGATGGAGCCCCATGTGGCGACGAAACGTGTGAGGGGTGTGCCAAAATGAGGGGGTGGCGGCATGCGGGCGCAGCCACTGGGGCCTTCTGTAGAGTTCCTTTTGGGGCCACGAAACGTGTGAGTCCACGGCGACGGGCTTGACAACTGCAAAAACAAAATGTAGGCATGGGGGGAAGGGGGTGGCGGCATGCGGGCCCAACCATTGGGGCTTTAGGTGTAGCTCCCTATGGTGCCACGAAGCGTGTGAGGGGTGTGCCACAATGTGGGGATGGCGGCATGCGGGCGCAGCCGCTGGGGCTTTCGATTGAGTTTCCTATGAGGCTACGAAACGTGTGAGGGGTGTGCCAAAATGAAAGGGGGTGAAGGGAGGAGGAGGATGGAGGAGGAGGAGCAGGAGGAGGAGGAGGAACGGAGGAGACGCTGGGATCCCTGTTAGGACCCAAACACCGCAGGACGGTTGGGAACAAACAAAAATTGCAACACGGCGTTTCAGAACAGTCTGCGCGCTTGTGAGTTCTTGAGAAAACCATTAGTTGTTCCAACTTGGTCATCAAACGCGACCCAAATGGGCCTCTCGCGCGCGCATGCCGAAATTATTCGAACGCCCTCGCGCGCATGAAAGAGGGACACGGTCCCTGTCAAGTAATAACATTCGGGCCAGCAGTGCGCGTCGGCCACGCACGCATCACCCTCATCACCGACACGGGGACACCACCATCGGCATCAGCATGGTCAGCATCGGCGCCGTCATTGGCCTTGCCTTCGTCATCGTCATCATCGCCACCAGCCGCGCGACCATTATCATCGTGTCTGCCGCTGTCGACGTCGCCATGGTACCGCTCCCGCCCGAGCCAGCGATTCGCACTGCGAGACGCGCTGGGAATTGCCCAGCGGTCAGCGCCACTGCGGCCGCTTCGGTCGCGCCAGACTGGCTGGCCGTTCCGCGCGCGAGTTTGCGCACGTTAGCGTTGCCGCTGCGATGTGGCTGCCAGCGCCAAGCAGTCATTGCAATCACCGCCGTATGGGTTGTTCAGACCAAATTGCGGTTGTGTGGGTGGGATGGTTGCGCGAGCAATGGGACATTTTCAAGTTCGGCAGGGTGAGCTGCCTCACATAGATTACGCCCCACATGTTGCACCGCATAGACCGCACCCCATCGATTACACCGCATCGATTGCACCACCGATCCTGCATCACGCAAATTGCTTGACAGACACTGCAACTACCACAGCCTGAGCCGCACAAATTACACCACATCGATTGCACCACACATACAGTAGGGGTCTTGAAGAAGGAACCCTTTTCGTTGGGGAGGGGCTCCGTGTTCCTTGATTGTTTCACAGCTTGCCTCAGTTTTTTTCCAAGGCTTTCGATTGGGAATCGAAGTTTATCTTTATGGGAAAGGAGGGGCCTCGTTCCTTGTTTAGGGTTCCTCAGGTCAAGGCCCCGACTGTATTGCACCACATTGTATGCTAGAGCACACAGCTGGGGGCCCACGCCGGCTATCGTGTTACCAAGGTGTCGGCGGCACACCACGCCGCCGTGCCAGACCAGCAGTGTGGGTGGCGATTGGTGGAAGAACGCACAGGAAGCCGTAAGATGCGACGCCCCAACGACGCGAAGATCGGGACAACGTCGGATCGGCATAACTCAAAATCTCTGAGGATCGGCGGGTTTGGAGGATGTATTGGGCGCCGCGGCCGCTCCAGAGCGTTCTGGAACGCTCTGAGAGCGCTCCAGAACGCTCTGGAGCGATTTATCCAGATCCTATCCCTGTTTTATGGCGATTGATGGAAGAACGCACAGGAAGCCGTAAGATGCGACGCCCCGTACCCCGAGGCCTGAGAGAGCGCCGTAAGTTGTGTGTGGCTATTCTTTGCGACGTGTCGTGTGTGTGTGTGTATGCGTGTGTCCTCGGATTCCCCGCTGCGTCCTTGCAGTATCGTTCCTCCTCCGCATGGTCACGCACCTCTCCAGTTCTGCAGCAAGACGGGCTCTTTTATTCTGCACGCCCTCACTGGCAACTCCGCAGCGACGGGCCTGGAGGACGGTGCCGAAGTCGAGTCGCCGCCGAGTGTCTTGCACGGCCTGCCGGCGCTATGGCCATTGGCCTCCCTGCTGGTTCAGTCGGGGATGTCGTCATCAAGCGCTCCGCGTTTGCTCCGTTTGGGTGACGCCCCCCCCCCCTTCCTTCTTTCCACCCTTGAGGACATCCCGCCTGGATGGTTCGGGAAGGCTTCGAGGGATGGGAGTTTCAAGACATGCCTTTCAGCTCCCTGGCCTGAGGCCAACATGCGCCCAGAGTTTGGAAATAACCATCGCCACCGAAAAGGGACCGTTGTCCTGGGGGCCTTTAAAGCGACAGGAGTAGAGGGGCCGCGCAATGATGTCATCGAATATGTGCCAGAGTTTCCAACCGACGCCGTCGCCCAACCTTGCTGCCACCGTTATCTTCAGGTGTTTGTTCGGTTTCTCGCCCCTAAGGGAGATGGGAGTTGCAAGGCATGCGCTGAAATCCTCGAGCCTGAGGCAAGCCAAGACGTGTCCAGAGTTTCACTGGAATCCTCGCCTCTGAAAAAGGGAACGCTCCTTTGGGCAATACTGTGTCATCTTGGAGGACATCGTGGGCTGTCTGGGGCCACGCTGGAGACATGCTGGGTCACTTTAGATGCTATAACGCGTCGTGCCCCCCCTCCAGACCCAGGGAGAGGGGTCAGGAGGAGAGGTGACCTCTCCTCGAAGGGGAAGAACGAGGTTGGTGTCTGGCTCAACCCATAGTCCCCGAGTGTTCGCGGGATTTGCGACGTTCTGCTTATCCCACTAGCCCATCCAAACACAATCCCCAGGCGCTTTGCCACTGCCAGAGAAACGACGCATTGTGGTGCAAGTGTCCATGCGCGTCTTGCGTTGCGTTATGCGCACATGGTGCTTCTGCGCTGCGTTATCCACGACGCCGTGTACTTGTATTGTGGTGTTTATGTTCCCGGAGGCCCAGTGCTTCAATTGTATCTAGACTTTTGCTGGCATGTGTGTCCCCACACGTCATATGCTACGTGACTCTGAACGCACACGGCCATACAGCGAAGCGTAGGAGCAAGCCTTGGTGAACCCAGAGGCCCTCGAGCGTCCGAAGTTATGTTGGCATTTGTTTGGGGGCCACCAGTGACTTGTTTGAAGCATCTTCGGGCCATACAGTGGAAGCCCATGCCAAGAAACACCATGCTTGCCTCTAGGGTGCCCTGGGTTTCTTGGGTTTCGATGATTCTGCTATGGAAGGCGTGACTTTCCCACACCCGAAATCAAATGACGTCGTTGGGTCTCAGGGTTGGGTTTCTCGTGGAAGGCTTCTTGCGGTCGAGCTCCTACTGTATGGCATGCTCTGGGGGCCCTCTTGGGGCCATCTCGGAGGCAACCGACCGAACAACACATGGAATATCAACCAGGACTGGACCTACAAAGTGTTTTGGGTGATTTTGTGGGCCGTTGTCGTTTCGACTTCGTTTTGCGGTAAAGGCGGATTCGAGACAAAAGCGAGGGGAAACGAAAACAACATGAAAACGAACAACACCGTTTGGGTTCAGCCTTGATATCAACTAGCCCCCCCCGCGTCGGAGGCCCAGACCTCCGTTCTTGTTGTGTGTTTCTGCAGGCCGCCGTGGGGCCCTCCTGGGCACCCCGTTGGAGCTCGATTGAGCCAGACTGGAGTCGGCTCCTCCTCCTCCATCTCCTCCTCCTCCGCCTCCTCCTCCTCCTCCTCCTCCCCCGTAGCCGCCGACGCGGCCCAGACCCCCCCTTCCAGGGGCGGCCTGCCGAGGACCGCCCCGCGGCAATGGGGGCAGCCGCGGCCCGTCGGCGCTGACTCCTGTGTGCCGCCTCCTGGCGGGGGCAGGCGGCACGCCGCAGCCCAGGTGCTCGCTGTGCCCCTGTGGGGTTGGCGGCTGCATGCTGAAGCTGCCCTTCCTCCTCTTCACCCCCATCGGCGCCGTTTGCGCCGAACGCTGGAGCTTCCTGGGGTGCTGGAACCCCCACTCGCTGTCCACGGCGTACCGCCTTGACGAGGTCTCCGCGGTGCTGCGCAACGTGGGTATCATCGGCTTGCCTGGTACGGGCGTGCGATCGTGGCAAGGTGAAGCACATCATGCGGCATCGGCGCCCTACCACCACACGGTGCAGTTCGGCTGGGCTCGGAGTCGCCTCGTCACGAAGGCTTGCGGATGCGCCATCATGATCAACAAGACTTGGTTCGCCAAGAAGGACCTCAGACAGATCGTCACCCCCCCCCGCCCTGCTTGGGCGTGGCGGCCTCGCGTACGTCTCGTCGGGGCCCGTCATGGTCGCGATGATGGCGCTGTACTTCCCGCCGAAGCCGAGCAAGGGCGGGAACGTCAAAGTCTACAAGGACACGTGCGACCAGCTGCTCAGGTGGGCGAAGCAGGAGTTCCTGAATATCCCCCAGAGGTACACGCCCGTGATCTGCATGGACCTCAACTCGAGCCTGGTGGCCAAGGCGAACTCCGACGTCGTGGGCGCGTTTGGGGCCGAGCCGGAGTCCGTGTGCGGGTCCGCCGTCCACGAGTGGCTCTCCACGGTCGGGCTCATCGCCATCAACACCCAGTACGATTGTGGCCACACCTTCGAGGGGACCAACGGCACCAGCCAGATCGACTACGTCTGCATCCCTGCAGCGGCGGCGCCGCTGGTCTCCTGGACGAAGGCGTGGAGGCGATCGGCCCAAGCAGGGGGGTCCATGCCTGCGGTGCTGGACCACATCCCCATCGTGCTGAAGATGAAGATGGCGCCGCCGATTGTGCTCACCCCCCTGCGGGTTCGCTGGGGCCGTGCCAAGCTCAGCCAGGCTGCCCTGACGGGCGAGGGCCGTGAGGCGTTCTTGGACGAGCTCCAGTACGAGCTGCAGTCCCACCGCGCGTCCTTCGAGGTGCTGGAAAGCCGCGAGGTCACCACGGGCCACGCTTCGTTGCTGATGAGCATGATCCGCACGACGGCGCTGAAGCACTTCTCCCAGGCCCCAGCGTCCAACGAGCTGGTCGACCGCATGACGAATGAGAAGTGGAGGATGCTGAAGGCCCGCAGGACCCTGCTGGGCGACGTGCCTGCGGCGGCGGCGCGGCTACGACTACGACTTCGGAGGTGGCCAAGCTGGCGATCGCGACCAAGGCGTACACGAAGGCCCTGAAGTCGCATCGGCGGAAGTCCTTGGCGGAGAGACGGAGGATGCCGGAAGAGGACTTGGCGCACGCGTGGAAAGTGCGGGACATGGCGGCGGTCCCGCGGCTGTCGCGTGCTCTGGCTGGCACGGGCATTGGCATCAAGAACAGGAATTACCGCGCGCACCCGAGCTTCTCGCCGTCGGTGTCCGAGCGGGCGCAGTTCCTGGAGCTCCCCCCGTTACGAGGTGGCCTGGCAGGCGCTGCGGTGTCTGTCCCGTGGCGTGCCGAGCTTGCCGAGGAGAGGTACAAGCAGCTGAAGGACGTCGACGAGAGTGCGACCCCTGACAACTATGAGGTTCCCGAGCACGTGCGCGTGCAGGCGCTGAAGGACTTCAAGATGACGGCCAAGGCGATCCGACGCACCATGCTGGTGCGTTTCTCGCCTGCGTGGTCGGCGCCTGCTGAAGTGTACAAGATCCTGCTTGGCCCCGCGTGGATCAACACGCCGGGCGAGTACTGGAAGAAGCCTACGGGGGTGGGATCGAGGCCCGAGGCGATCATGAACGACAACGCTACCACCCCCGACCCGTGCGCGAAGTCCCAGCTCCTGCACCTGGCCAAGTATGGGGAGGCGTCTTTCAGGCTTCAGGCTCTTCAGGCTGGCGCTGCAGGTGAGGAGGACGGAGAACTTACCGCTCCAGGCATCCCTCTCGTTCGGGTTCGCGCCTGACAAGAAGAACGGGGAGGCTGGACGTGCTGGGCGTCGGCTGCTGCACGCCACGTGCCCGTGGTGGAGGGCGTGCACTCGTGGGCTGCTGCTGCGCGGTGGCACGTTCAGGCCCCCCCCCCCCCCCCCCTGTGGGCCTTCGCTTGCAGAGGTAGGAGAAGGGGGCACCTGATGATGGCGACGAAGGTTGCGGCGTGGAAGGAACTACATATCGGGCGAAGAGAACTATGCACATGCACCGATCCTGGCAAGGCACATTTTTGACCCAGGATCGGCGCAGATGCCTTCCTGGCCAAGGTAGGAGGGCGTATGCACCGATCCTGGGCTCAGGATGGGCCTGGCCAGAATCGGCGCATGTGCATAGTTCTTTTCCCTCTGACATAGTGGCCAGCCATGCTCCACAAGAGCTCCGACGCGACGAATGCGTTCGCCTGCGGCTCGAAGGACCAGCTGGAGGAGCGCGCGCTCGCTAGGCTGGCGGGGGAGGAGGAGAACGCGGATGCTGATGTCCGGTATGCCGCTGCTATGACGGGTACGAAAAGAAGCCGCCTCACGGTGATCATCGACGCTGTTGATGATAGGTGCGCGGTTCGCAGTGGCAGCGGCGGCTTCGTGGGTGACGCGTCGGAGCCCGAGATTTCCATGGGGAACTACCACCATGCGGTCCGCGCCTGGTCCACCTTCGAGCGCTTGCAGACCGCGGGCGCCATGGCCATCAACTTCAGCAAGTTCCCCGCCATCGACGCGAGCATGGGCGCGTTCATGGACGACATTTTCAAGACGGCGCTAGTGGACCGCGAGACGATCAACGCGGAGGACATCGCGGCGGCCTCCAAGCGGAACGACATGCTCCTGGACCAGGCCCTGGCAGCGCGGATGTGTGCGCAGAATAGGAGCAAGCAGGACGTCGTGCCCGCGCTGCGGTCGCGGCAACTCACCAGGCAGGTCGTCCTTGGCCTGCGCCGTTCTGGGTGCCGTGCTGGCTACGAGCTGAAGCACCTGCGTGCGTGGTTCAACGCGGTGGGCAGCAACGCGAGCGAGCTCAAGGCGCGGCTGCAGGCCCTCAACCGCGGCTGGACGATGGTCAGAGGCTTCTGGGGGTCGCACGCGCCGAAGAGAGTGAAGCGGCTGATGTTCATTTCGCTGGTGAGTGGCGCTGGCTTGTCGGGCACTGCGTCAATGGCCTGGGCAGAGAGCGAAAACCGCGCCATCTGCTCGGCGCTGGCGAAGAAGCTGCGCTACCTGATGAGCGGCGCCGCCGCGTTCAAGGGGGGCCAAGTTCGCTCTCTCACGTCTCGGGAGGTCTACCGCTACTGGCAGCTCGCCCCCCTTGCGCTCGAGGCGACGGTCCAGAGGCTGCAGGCGTGGCAGAGCGTGTTCCGCAACCCTGCGAACCACGCCCACTTCTTGTCGGTCTTCTTCGGCGCCGTGAAGTGGGAGCTGGAGGCGGAGTTCTCGTGCCCACCGTCGCTGACTCCTGCGGGTGATGTGAACGATCGCCCTGGCCTGCACCCGTGGCTGCTGCAGTTCAAGAAAGACATGCAGATTGTGCTGGGCCACCCCGAGGCCGAGGATTTTGCGCGCGCCTGGAGCGGCGAGATCGACGAGCTGATGTTGGACCCCGTGGTGAACAGCTACTTCCTTGCCTTTGACCCGCGCTCCTTACGGACTGCCTTTCATGCGACTCAGTGGAGGCCGCCTGCGTCGCTGGCGGACTCTGTGCCTGCGGAGCTCGACGGTGAAGATACGTGGGAACATGCTGCTCTTCGCGTCACTTGCATGATCGCCAGGGGGATGGGTCCACGCGCGGCGCTGCGTTCAGGTCGAGAGCTGCACTCATTGCACACGTCACGCAGAGCAAGGAGGAGGGACATGGTGGGCGCAGTATCTTCCACAGCATCACACCCGCGAGCGTGTGCATCAACTGCGGCACGGTGCACCAGAATCGTAGCGAGGCTGTGCGACACCTAGCACGACCATGGCACGCTGGACGGTGCCTACGCAACAACACGGCATACCCGTATGAGTTCAAGGACACGCACGAGTGCACGTGCATGGAGTGCGGCGTGGCGCGCACGACGTACGCCTCGTTCCGCGGCCACCTCTGCTCCCACATTCCGCCCGCAGCGGGGGGCCTGCCGATTGCTGCGGTCGAGCCTCGACCGCCCCGTGCCCCTCCGCGCGCCCCGCGGGGCCGCGCGATTGCGCCGCCAGTCCCTGGCGGGGCCCGCCGTGCGAGGGGCAGCGAGCTGAGGACTACCCCGGGTCTGATCGCTGCTGGAGACGAGCTTCGCCGCCTGCTCGGTGATAGGGCCCGCGATGATGGAGGTGGAGCCGAAGTCCCGACGGAGCTGGCGCGGGGGCGCCCGCCTGACTGCCTCCTCCCAGGCGCCCGCGAGTGGTGGGCAGCCGTCCAAGCCAGAAGGTCGCAAGAAGCAGAAGGGCGAGGGCGGCGCGGGAGTAGCGCGGGGAGCGGCAGGAGCAGAGGGTGCGGCGGCGAAGGCGAAGCCTGCACGTCGGGGAGGGCGCCGTCGGGGAGGCAACAAGGACAGGAAGCTGCAGGCGAAGGACGACGGCCTGCGCGAGCTGCTGCTGCTGACGATGCGCAGGTCGCCCAACTCACACAGCGCAGCCGCGCGATGTGGGGCATGCTCACGAAGACGATCATCATCGACGACGGCTCGAATATCGCGAAGGCGATGCAGGAGGAGCCCAGGTCATTCTCGGAGAACGCGAAGGGGATGTGGGAGCAGGTGAAGCGGATGAAGGACGCGGCGAAGCAGGCCAAGGGCGCGAACGACAAGCCCGCGGAGGTTCAGGCGGACAAGGACGCGGCCGCCGCCACCCTCGCGCTGCGCGAGCTCGCCCCCCCGACGGCGACGATGTTCTGCGCGATGGTCGAGGCGCCCGCGGTGGAGGAGGTCGGGCGCGCCAACAGGCAGACGCTCGAGGCGTGGTCCACGGCCACGTTTGGCGACCCGCCCGGCTTCGTCAAGCTGTGCAGGCTCGAGAACTGCCGCCAGCAGGACAAGGTCAAGATCGCGTTCTCGACGACCGATCAGGCCAAGGAGAACATCCTCACGGATTCGTTCAAGCAGCTCGACTGCGTGGCCACGTCGGGCACTGCGCCCTCGGGATACATGGAGGACGAGCTCTCGGCCTGGATCGACGTGCTCAAGGCGCGAGGGGAAGTGCATCGAGGGGATGGACTCCAGGGAGCCGAACTACCTCGTCCTCCTCTCCGTGGTAGACGATCGCTCTGACGCGTGACCGCGCACAGCGTCGCGCCTTCGAGCGCGGCTGTGCTGCCGCGGCACCAGGAAAAATATGGTAACGGCCTGAGGCCGTGGACAGCGGGTAGCTTTGTCGTGTGCGTGTGTGTGCGGCGCGGCGCGTGCGGCGCGTGTGTGTGTGTGCGCATTCGGTACATTGCCCATCAGTTGCGTACTACTACTACTACTACTACTACTACTACTACTACTACTACTACTACTACTACTACTACTACTACTACTACTACTACTACTACTACTACTAATAATAATAAAAATACTACTACTACTACTACTACTACTACTACTACTACTACTACTACTACTACTACTACTACTACTACTACT